AACTCGTGGTCGAGCGAGAAGGTGCTGCCCATGCCATCTTGGCTTTACATGAAGGGGTCGACCATCCCACCATGGCCTTGATCAAAGGGGGCAGCCATGAAGGGTCCTCAACCATCTTGGCTTTGGGTCTCGTCGGCATCGAAGGCACACTCACCCACACCGCCTTCGAAGGCAGCGACACCCACACCAGCTTCAAAGATGATGTTCTTCATGATGAAACGGTTGTCCGTCTCGTTGTCCGTGGCCGACATTCTGCCGAACAAGTTGCGGGCATCAGGTTGTATGTCAGATGGCATCTCCCGCGGGCGTTTCCTATGGCCCCTGGTGGATGATCCACCGGCCACATGTGTGGCGTTGAGATCGATGGGCATGGGCGCGGGAGCGGCCGACGCCACCACGCTCACCTCTGGCGAGCAATTCCCGAGAGAATGGAGTTTGCGAGTAGGGATGGAAGCCGGGAATCGGCGGCGTGGCAGACATGCACGACGAATCTGGCAGTGGCACACGGGGAAAGGCCGACGAGCCTGTGCTGGCATGGGTTAACCCTAGGTAGAGCAGGGCCTTCCTCGTTGCGGCAGTGAATCTGTCGATGTTCTCTTCCTGTGCAGCGGCGGATGCGGCTTCGAGCTTGCGTTCCTGAGCGTGCCTCCGGCCCTTCCTCTTGGCCGACTGCACGACCTACCGCTCGTTCGTCAACGGCTTCTTCTTGGTCGGCGCCGCCGTTTTGCGGGTGGCGTCGGGCTTGGCCTTGGTGGGGGCGACGAAGGCAAGGCCAGAGGACGAAGGCAATGCCAGAGGAGGCGAGGGAGGCGAGGCCGGAGGCGGCGTCAAGGATCGGCACGTCGTCCATGGCAAGCGGGCGGGAGATTTTTGGGAAAGAGAGGGAAATGAGGGTGGCTGTACCGTCGACTGGCGAGCTGGAGGGAGGAGTACGCAGACGTCGCGTGCGTCTGTTTTATGTCCGCGCCGACACAAACGAAGTCCAAATTTGGATTGGGAATGAGTCGCGTGACGGACGAAAAACGGACGCTCGTCCGTTTAGATCGATGCATAACACGCGTTAGACCGACTTTTATGTTCGTTTTAATCCAAATAGACAAGCGCAGATGAAATGAGTGGGAGCGTTGGAGTTCCACAAGGCCCTCCACTATGTGTTCGGTGCCAGAAATTTAAAAAGTTTGCCACATACACTTCGATGCCAAATGTAAAAAGTTTAGCACCGGCACCACAACGTGAAGGATTTGGCACCCATCCACCTCTGGCCCACCTACGTATAAACTAGTAATATATCAGCTCAAAGCAGTGTCTCGTCGGTGGTGCCTCGCATGCAAAAAGTACAGTGGCTGCCTAATTTATTGCCTCAACGAAATATGGCGTCGGAGCAAGTAAAGGAATCGATGCCCTGAAATTTTTATTTGGCATCGGCTGAGCTATGTAAGGCACCGGTGCCAAATGTTCAAAAAGTGAATTTAGCATCGGTTTTGGCCTACGTAGTGGAGGGCCTAACTAAACTCACTTTACAAAGAGTAACCCCGAAACTGGATCTCGCAAAAATACCTATCATTCTGAAGCGGAAGTATCGCAGCAAGTTCAGAAAGGCCTCCCAAAGTTCAAACAGAAAAAAAGGCCTCCCACTTGCCCCCAATGGCCGCTCCGCCGCCGGTGCTCACCCTGGCGGTGGAGAAGGGCCCGCGCGAGGGAGAGACCCGGCGATGCCGCGCGGGCGCCGCGCTCCGCGTCGGCCGCGTCGCCTCCGGCAACGACCTCGCCGTGCGCGACGTGGGCGCGTCGCAGCGCCACCTCACCATCGAGTTCCTCCCGCCTCCCGCGTCCCGTTGGGCCGTGTCCGATCTCGGCTCCTCCAATGGCACCTTCATCAATGGCGCCCGCCTCCTGCCCTCCGTCCCCGCCCCCCTCTCCCACGGGGACCTAATCATCCTCGGTCAGTCCACCGTGCTCGCCGTGTCCATCGCGCCTGATTCGGATGTGAAACCCGGTCCTAGGCGCTCCTCGCGCCGCGCGGCGGCGGTGGCGGTGGCGGAGGAGAAGCCGACCCCATCCGTCACCCGCCTGAGCACACGGAAGATGGTGGGGACGAGGGCGGCGGCGGCGTTGGAACCCTCCGAAACTGAGAAGGGAGGGCCGGATGCAGCGGCAGTAGTGGTGGAGGAAGAGAGCCACCGGGTAGTTACACGTGGTGGCGGACGGAAGAAGGTGGCTGGAGCGGAGTCCCTCGAAGCGGGTAAGGAAGAGATGGAGGAGGCCGCAGTGGCGACACTCTGCGGTAGGAGGAAGAAGGTTGTGGAGCCCCCTGAACTGGAGAAGGCAGATGAACAGAAAGAGGAGAAGGCTGCGGTGGCAACACGCGGCAGGAAGAGGAAGAAGGCCGTGGAGTCCCCTGAAGTGGAGAAGGCAGATGAACAGAAAGAGGAGAATGCCGCGGTGGCAACACGCTGCAGGAAGAGGAAGAATTCTGTGGAGTCCCCTGAACTGGAGACTGCAGATGAACAGAAAGAGGAGAAGGCCGCGGTGGCAACACGCGGTGGGAAGAGGAAGAAGGCTGAGCCCTCTGAACCGGAGAAAGGAGATGAGGGGAAGGAGGACGCCGGGGTGGTGACATGCCGCGATGGTAGGGAGGTTGCAACGACGGTTGCTCTTCCACCGCTGCCTCCAAAGACAAGGTCCAGAAGGGTCCAGGGAAGGGTCACAAGGGCTCGTGCAAGGAAGGCTGTTCTTGAGGAGGAGGAGGAGGCTGGGGATGAAGAAGTGGAAGGGACTGCAAATGCATTGGAGGAAGTGCCTGTTGCTCAGAGAGGGCTGGTACGTAGAGCGCCAAAAGGGATGACCAATACTGAGTTCACTGCTTCTCACAACGGGGGTAGGGAGATAAATGAAGGTGGAGGAGAGGCGGAGAATGGAAAGATGGAAGTAGTTAACAGCGGAGGAGAGTTAGAGGATGATGAGAAGGGTGAGAAGCATGCTGGGAGAAGCAGCCTGGACACTATTACATTGCAGGAGTGGTTCGAGGGGATGGAAAGGTACCTTCCAAGGATGATCAATGAAGCTGCTGATGAGATGATAGTGACGCTGGAGGAGAAACATCGGCGCATCAATGAGTACATTTCAGTGCTCGGGAATAGTTCCTATCCTTCTTGAGATTCATGTATAGTCAGGAGTGATGGCCAGTCTAACGCAGGGTGATGCCTGGAAATAACATTGGAGATAATATTTAGTCGCAGGTTTTACAAACAGTAGGGTTTGAGGTATTACCACCATACACTGGGTGATGATTACTGAATTATTCATTCCAGCAGCCACACCAGCAGTGCCTGAGAAATGCTATTGTTCCTGTTGATAGTATTGCACTGGCCATGCTGTGACATATTATACCAGTAGTCATAGGCTAAAGCGTTAAAATGGAACTCTGTAATTGATGATGCATCCTGTGGGTTCACTTCTGATAAGATTACTAATATGTACTGTTCATGTGGATAATGATCTATCAGCTCTCATTGATATGCAACCTTCCCTGAAATACCATGTTCATAGCCTTGACTCCTTCTATGAGTTCCCTTCTTCCACTTTTAGCAGTAAACCGGATAAAGCACGTCTCACAGAAGAAGACCTTGCCTTGAATTCTCATATTTCGTTCTTTACTGAGATTATTCCACCCCCCACTCACACTGTCCAAAAAACGGAAATTTGAGTTATTTTTCATTTTTATAGTGTTTAGTATTCTTTTCATTTTTTAGCTAAGCCAGCTTCAAGCAAATATCTGGAAACCAAAAATCTTGTCATGTCTATAATGGCCGTGCAGCACCTTCTTCTTCCGTGAAGTATCCAAATCAAAGCTTGCACTGATGGGCAGCAAAATCCTGCATTTGTTTCAAAATCTAACAGGAGTCATTATAACTATGAATATGCACATATTTGCCTTATGATGTTTTGTTTGTTTGATGAAAACATTGTCATTCCTAAGCAATCTAACCTTAGACAGCTGGTTGTAAAATATTTCCCATTTTCCCCTCGTAAAAAATTACACAGGAGTGCTCCAATCAAAACTGTGCAAATATGTATGTTAGTTCAGCTTCTTGTGCTCAACATTGTTCCATTTATCTCCAATGTTTGTCTAGATTTTTTCATGTCCATAGGCTTAATAGTTTCATCCCCAGCTCATGTAATCTTTCTTGAGAAAAGAATGTGCTAGTATTAGTTTCTGGAGGGCAGGACAGTTGTCACCAAGATCAGGTGGTAAAGAAAAGTTCAGTCTAGGAGTTGAATCATTTTCTTGTAGTCTTGATCATGGAAACTTTTATTATGTAAAACAAATTGTTCTTTTATCACAGCCCTGGACTCGAATTCATTTAACCTTTTTGACAATGCTCTGTACAATATCATATGTATTCATGACTTGCCAGGCATACCAACTTGATTGGATAAATTTATTTTTGTTCTTTGTTTAGTTCATTTCCAATTAATGTACTAAATTTATAAGGGAATGCTGACATGTTCTGTGGGCCATGTGGGTTAACTGGATGTTGATGATCACTGTCAAATGCCTGAAGTACACTGAAGTTATAATTTTACATTTTGATTACTGTCTAACTGAGTTCACGGGTTCAAGTCCTGGAAACAGCCTCTTACAGAAATGTAGGTAAAGGCTGCGTACAATAGACCCAAAGTGGTCGGACCCATCCCCGGACCCTGCGCAAGCGGGAGCTACATGCACCGGGCTGCCCTTTTGTCGCGATATCTTATGGGTTTCACCTCTAGCCTACCCCAACTTGTTTGGGACTAAAGGCTTTGTTGTTGTTGTCGTTGTATTACTGTCTAACTGAGTTCTGTATTCATGTTTTATGAGTTTGTCCAAATGAAGGAACTGTGAGCATAGGGTGTTGATTCAAGAGGAAAACCCTAAGTAGGAAGGAAGGAATAAGTAACTGGAAGAAGAAAGAAGTCACCTGAGTTTCCAGAAAACCCTTGGGGAAGACAAGAAAAGAATGAAGTACAGACAAAGCAAAGCTCTAATCCTCCTCAGATAATTTTCTGATGCCCCTCTCCATTTGCAGTAACGCATTGCTTCATACCCCCTACTTATAGAGGATTGTACACCACCTTGGCTACAAAGTTACAAGGCGAGGAGACAACTTTGAAAGGTAAGAATTTCTCATATTAATTTAATTTACCAGGTTGTTTTCAAAGTTTCAATGTATCGACAAACTGAAGTACTTCAAACTACTTGGATTCTATGTGTTCCTTTGTTCCCTCTTTCTACTCTGCAGACATCTTATGCAAAATTATGCAAACTGTCATAATTGAGCCATTATGGCCTGTAGTTCTAGCTTATACTCATGTGGCAGTTTGCGGTTCACCAGTTCTATCAAGTATAATTATTAATGCCAACAGATAATGGTTAAGTTCAGCATATCAGCAGGTTGCATATCTTAAATTGCAGAATGTGGTAACCTCAGTTGGACATAAAAGAGACACATTATCATATATCTCTCTCTCTTAGAAATACGCTGAAATTATACAAAACCATGGGGATGACTTTGCCTGTATTTTGTAATGGTTTGTGCTGTCTATTCAATATCATGTGGCAATTGGCATGCTCTTATTCTTACCATATACTTCTAGCGATGGCTGTCCCACAAGTTGACAAGAAAATGCTTGGTGAACTTGAAGTTATGGGATTCCCCGCCGTTCGTTCAATTAGGGCACTTCATTATTCTGGTACGTCTGTTTCAAATGGGCTTAGAAGGTAATGTTCTTGTATTACAGGATCTTTCTATCATAGTCAGGCGGACAATCCATCAATCATACCACAATAGGTCATCTGGTTCTATGGCCTCACCAATTATATTTGTACTGACAACCGAACCTTCTTACTATTTGTGTTTCTTGAAAGTTCAAAGTAATTATTTAACTGCAGAGATAGGGCGACACGTTTTTTTGTAAACATGTTTTTCTTCTATATCTAGCTGAATGAACTGTAGAAATAATCCACTGTCCTTGTCAGGTAATTCCAATCTTGAATCTGCGATAAATTGGCTTCTGGAACATGAAAGTGACCCAGACATTGATCAGCTACCATTGGTAGGTTTTCTTGTGCAATCGTGATTTGTTAACAGAAATCTGTTCTGATGTGGCTTATTCTACACTCACTTGATATCCTCAACAGTGCTATCCTCTAAATATATAGCTGTGAATTGTTTTCCCTGAGATTCCAGCATAAAACCTTTTCCGATTCTGTTAAATACTTAATTCTGAAGCAACTTGCATGTCAGTGCATGTCTGTGTGGCAGTTTAGTTGTCTAGTCTGTAACCTAATGCTCTGTAGAGCTAGACAAACTCTCCAATATAGTTCCTTTATTTTATGTCTACAGTCTACATATCTGCATTGTCATGTCAAACACTTTTTTCAAACCTCCTGTTCTGATTTCTTGGTACTCCTTTGTATGTTTTAGGTTTCAAGAGAAATCAGCATTGAATGTGGTGACACATCAAGCGAAGTGAGAAACAGCGTTCAAGGAATGAGGTTAGTTTTTTCCAGAATGTTATAGAAAAGAAAGCAGGAAAATATTACTCGCCTTAATCTAAGGGTCTAAGTTCTTAGATGAACTGGTTGTTGTATAAACTCAATAAATCAAAATATGATATCAGCACTGCCATGAGTGTGGGCACTTGACTGGCTGTTGCAATTTCGAGAGAAAAATTGCTGCCCTCTCGACTCCACATCACCGGCCTTTTGAATGTACTGGTTGTTGAATAAAACTCAATAGGAAAATATCATGTGTTATTTTGTGGAATTGGAGCACAAATCACTGTTCAATAGCTATCCTGCCAACCATCTGGAAGTCTGCACTTGATAATCCGCAGCATTTTACATTTATGTGTGTCAGCCTGCTATATCAACCTAACACATCAGTGAGCAAACTCTTAAGAGTCTCTGCAGTGCTTAATGGAAAAAGGTGTCGTGTTGGGGATAGCTCAAGGGAGGAAATGACCTTTTTTATATTTTCCTTCCTTTTTTACAAAATAAAATAGCTGATCTGGGGAAATTTGCCATTAAGCCTGAGCACTTGCTATATTTAACAGTCTAATTTCATGCACTGGTAAAATGGAAGCTACTAATGACCAAAAGTTGTTGAATAAGGCAAGTCATGTGTAAGACTTAAATGCTTACTCCCTCTGTTTTTTGCAAGGCTTCCATGCATTTAAAACAAGCTTTGCAAAATGCTTTACCGAAAAAGGCTTTCGCCCCGCTTTATAAATAAAGCAACCACCGAGCACAAGGTTATCAAGGTACCAACCGAACAACACACACAACGCCACCGCAGGCAAAATGCTTTTGAATACAGATCTAACGGTGTCAGTTTTGTGTCACGTAACCTACATATTGTTTATATAATTGTTCGTCTCTTGGTCAAGCTTGAATCTTGGAATGCATGGGTAGCTCACAAAAAGAAACAGAGGGTTATTATTACGATTTACGGACTACCGATGGAGAATATGCATTCATGAGAAGCTTATCTACTCCAAGTAACTCAACACATGTCGGTATTTTTTTTATTTGCTATGCTGTTGCATAATAATCATGGGATTGAGCATGGTTGTCTTGTAGGACCCATGCCCAGGCGAGAAAACCAGAAGAGCAAACTACAGCTGGAAGTCAGAAGGTGCTACCTAAACATTTCTTCGTAATTTTTGATATCTCAGTCCTTTCTTGTCATGTTAGTATGTTATGGTTAAGTCCTTTTGTCATTCATGGAGGACTTGAACCTGCCTAATCACTATTGGAAAAAGTAACCAAGCTGAAATTTACATCAATTCGTTTCCTCTGTTTTTAACTCACAACCTCAGTTTCAACGAAGGATTACTCATAGCACATTGAACTAAAAATATTATGTCTGTAAATGAGATAAAAGTGCAGACGTTTTCTTTTGTCATTGTTCCGGTATGCTTACATAATGTAAATATTGTCGTAAAATGTTGACTAGTAGGTACCGCATCTCAGCCACCTGCCAGGCTGCCACTTCACCAGCATTTTGTCTTTATGCCTCACCTAATCCGAGCTAGTGTTTATAGTTCATAATCTTTTGTCACACCCAATTTTTTTTATCAGGAGACTTCAGAGGTGGAAAGAGAACTCAATGCCAATGAACATGAGGAAGAGGATAGAAAGAGGTTTGTACCTGTTTTGAATATATGTTGTCTGGCGAGCATTTTGTTTACCATTCCTGGTAGACTGCAACCCTCGTACATTGCAGGGTTTTAGCACTACATAAGTCAAAGCGTGATGAGGAAGAAAAAGCACGAGGGAGAATCAGAAATCAACTTCAGGAGGATAAGGTCTGACAATATTTCAATGCTATTAAGAAGTAAAAACCATAACACTGCAGCAGGGAAGAGCTAGAATGTGTTTTGCTGTAGTTGTATTTATCATATCTCACCATAGCAGCTATCATGCAATAAGCTCATGTTGGCCTGCACTGTTCTCCGTTTGGATGTCAAAGTCTCTTTGTTGTAACCTGTCGCTTGTCCACCATCATTTTTGCACTTTTGTGTTGCATACTGGATGCAGAAGTAGTAGCTTGTTAAAAAATGATGTCATGCTATATAAATATGAACACCATTGATTTTGGTTTGCAACAAAAAGAGTCAACGATGACACATCCTTACTTTCCACTAAATGTTACAGTACATGCTAGAGGATGATAGAAAGTAAAACTTACTATTGTCAATGAAGATCAGCTCTGTGCTAGTATTGTGATATTTTTGTCAAAAGTATTTGTTAGGCTGTTTTACATATCCTATGAGCATTATCTTAAATGTGGAATTTATTTGTTGTTTTTCTAAAGAGGGAGAGGATTCAAGCTGCTAAAGATGTTATCGAAGCAAAACGGACTCTTGAAGAAAATCAAAGAAAACGGTGGGTTTCGTAGGCAACTCACATCTGCTATTTCCAACTCAAATGTTCTCATGGAAACAATATTTTGTTCAATACAGCATGATGGAAAGTCGAAAAGCAGAACAAGAGGAGGAGAAAAGAGCAAGAGAGAGAATCCGTCAGCGTATAGAGGATGATAAGGTCCCATTGAATCTAAACTAACTAATATTTTGAAACTTTGATGTTTCATTCCGTCTGTTATTTTGAATTCAATTTTTATAGGACAATGGTCAATGAATTCCATGCACTCCTTACAGTTGCTTCTTGGGTTTCCACATCAATAATGTTACCCTATATGTCTATATCTCTCCACAGACCCACATCTACATGCAACAATACATCCTTTTTTTGTGTGAATGCCTTTGAATTTCAACTAATCAAATTTGGTCTCCTTGCAATGGAGCAAGCCTACCATATAATTATCAATTCAGTCTACTCATGGCAATATTATCAGTAGAGTGCAATCAATATTTCCTACATGATCAGAGTGAGAATTTTCTTGTGTTTACTCATTAGCCACTATTTTTCTGCGGAACTTTCGGACTTTCAGCGAGATACTGCATTGCTTGTTGGACTGCTGAAAAGTCTTAAATTATTTTCCTGTATGCAGGCAGAAAGAAGGAGAGGGCTTGGTTTGCCACGGGAAAATACAGTAGCATCAGCTCCGATAGTAACTCTCGCAAAGGTCTAAAGTTCCCCATAGTACTATATTACATGAGCAAAACCACCCAAACACATTCCTCACTCTTTTTTGACTGCTCAGGTAAAACCTATTGAACCAGTTGTAACATCAGAACAATTGAGAGATTGCCTACGAACTCTGAAAAAGAATCACAAGGTAAAGTGATCATCCTGCAGTTATAATTTATGATACATGGAGTTGTTGTCTGTTTTGCACAATTAACACAATGAACCTTCTACGCTCTGCCGCATCAATCTTGATTACTATTTCACACAAATGCGGCTGTACGACTTCTGTCGATGCAGATAACTGAAACTAGCCTGTTTGCACACCAGGATGCTTAGTTTCTGCATCATGTGCTCTTTTAGGTTGTTTTATTTTTTTTAGCTTATCTTTTATAGTCTGGAACTGGGCCTTCCATTTTGTTCGCAACGGTCTAACATCAGCACTCTAATACTTCCTCCGTTCCTAAATATAAGTCTTTTTTAGAGATTTCAATACAGACTACATGGTTTGTATATAGACATATTCAGAGTGTAGATTCACTCATTTTGCTCCCGATGTAGTCCATATTGAAATCTCTAAAAAGACTTATATTTAGGAATGGAGGGAGTAGAATTCAGCAGTCTGCTTGAGTGCTTGTGCAAGACATGCAGAATGAAGCTGTATAGCGCAATAACCCCTTGTGTTATGGGGATGCCAGAAACCATCTGACGTGTCGGTTGCCACTCTATTTATAGGATGACAACGCTAGAGTGAAAAGAGCATTCCAAATATTGCTGAAGATAGTCGCCAACATAGTAAAGAACCCAGAAGAGGAGAGGTTCAGGAGGATTCGACTAAGCAACCCTGTTTTCAAGGTAACTGGAGAACGCTACGGGGAAAGTATCGGCTATTTAGTTCCCATATGCTACGTATGGCTCTTTAGTTCAGAAAGCCGCCTCATCCTCAACCCCTGCTGTTTAACAGGACAGGGTGGGTAATCTGCAAGGCGGCGTAGAGTTCCTGGAGCTGTGCGGGTTCCAGAAGCTCAGGAACAACAGCTACCTGGTCATGCCGAGGGGCAAGGCCGACGTGGCGCTCCTCAACGCGGCGGGGGTCGAGATCGCGTCTGCCATGGAGAATCCCTACTTTGGGCTGCTCTCCAAGTGAGCGGGACAGCCTGCATTCATCTCTGCTTCACCATTAAGAGCTCATCTATATTCGGTACTACGAGCTTTGTAAATATTAAAAACCTTTGTGGCAATGAAGTGTGAGTACCAGCGAATGGACGGCACGGCGCTGTAGCTCATAGATCTCGTCGATGGGATCTATCCCCTGTATGTAACTGAACAAATTGTGTTCCAGTAAATCTCATGATTTGTTGGCAACAGTGGGGGCGGTGTACAGAAATCAAAACAAAAATGAGACGAGATGCCTGCAAAACGATGATCGAGCTGTGATGCCATGTCCCTGCTATTTCTCATCTTACCCAAGAAAACGATATGTGATTGTAACTGTAATCAAACCATGTCACTTGTTACAGTGGCGTGTATAGCAGTATAGGTGATGGGAGATTACTACTAGATGCATTCCCCCGCCCCACACATGTTCATGCCCCGTAACGTTGGGTCACTGTTGCTCATGGAGCAAAACATTGAATGCCTTTTATTCTCCGGGTGGAGGAGAAGGGAAAGGGCCCTGTGCCGGCACATGCCATGCTTTGAGCTTTTGCGTGTGCACCTGTACTTTGGAGCTTCAATTCTGCGTGTGGAGGGACCCCGTCCTAGACTCGGAAAGCAGCTTCTTGATAGCAGCTGCTGGGGCCTGGATTTTCTGCTCTAATCATCTTCCCATCAGTAGAACCTTGAAGTTGAGCTATGTGCCATGGATTTCGGAAATTCCTGCCTTGGGCAAAGATTGTTTTCTGATGGAGATCTTCAGCGAGGATGTACTAGCAGCAAGAGTACAAAACCGTTGCATGCTCGATGGAATATGTAGCATGGCAACATCAAATCTGTGACACCGGCTTCTTCATTCTTTTTTGACAAGTGGCACGAACGGATAAACCATGCAAAACACCGGCTAGCACATAAATTACGAGAGCTGGGAAATTCTCTATCTAAAAAATGGACGGAGTAATTTTCACACAACAAACACACGGAACGCGAGAACAAGACCAATGATGCCACTAGTCTATACCAATATAAAAAGACCTAAAGGGGCAGATCCAAACCATCACGACCGTCAAATTATATTATCTAGCGGTTGAAATCGCTTCAATGTTGAGCACCAAACATATTTAACGCTTTAATTACCCACCACTGCCATTGGTTATAAACACATTTTGACTCAACGTTATCCCATAAAATCTGTCATGTAATTAATATCCTACCATTCCCGCGAAAAAGTAATTGATATCTTACCAAATACCAACGTGCAACAGATATATCTTACCTAATATAACGTGCAACTAATATCCTACCTAATATAAACATGCATTGCACGTACATTATTACTAGTCGTATTAAAGGTTCTTAAAAAAAGGTTATCCTTCACCCGCAAAAAAAGCCTCCTGATTCATGTAAAAAAAAGTTCTTTCCATTCCTTTAGAGCATGGACTGATTCATGTAAAAAAAGTTCTTCGGATTCCGTTAGAGCGTATACAACCGGGCTTGGTAAATCGGGCTCCTTAAACGCTCGCGCACACGTCCGGACGCGACCACGAACAATGCTGGATGGCCCGCCGTACCGCATGCTGGGCAGTCGCACGCTTTAAATGTAAACCCTCAAATCCATGCACATGGATCATATAACAAAAATTCGTCACAATTCATCAGTTCAACAAATGCAACAAAGCAAAGTAAATCATAGTTCAACACTAGACATGCCAAAATGAAATTCAAGTCCGAGCGTGACGGATCACTCATCAGACGCCATCCGAGCCACCTGCTCCACCGCGGCCATCCTTGCCGCCTGCTCTGCGTCCACCCGTTTTGCTTCCGTTGCAGCCATCCCCATTCGCGCCGCCTCGTACTCCCTACATTCGTTGATCTTCTTTTTTCTGACAAGCCATTTTCTTGCTTACTCATCCAAGAGGCTTGTGTCTGTCAACATTATCCTCGAATCCTCCGTGTCTCGAGCAAGTTGCAACCTCTCCATCTCAATCTCTATTGATCCAAAGGTCTGGACCTTCTCGAGCTCCCATTCGAAACAAAGTTTTCTTCTTCTCCAACTCCGTCGTCTCTCTCCCAATTGCCAACTTGTTGCTCTCAATTAGCTACTTGGTGTTCACCCTATTTCGGTCCATCCTTTCTTTTTGCGCATGCAACATGAGCTTGTACCTCACCTCTTGAAGGAAATATGCCCTAGAGGCAATAATAAAGTTATTATTTTATATTATATTTCCTTATTCATGACAAAGGTTTATTATTCATGATAGAATTGTATTGATCGGAAACTTAAATACATGTGTAAATACATAGACAAATACGGTGTCCCTAGTAAGCCTCTACTAGACTAGCTCGTTGATCAAAGATGGTTAAGGTTTCCTAACCATAGATATGTGTTGTCATTTGATAACGGGATCACATCATTAGGAGAATGATGTGACTGACAAGACCCATCCGTTAGCTTAGCATAATGATCGTTCAGTGTATTGCTATTGCTTTCTTCATGTCAAATATTTATTCCTTCGACTATGAGATTATGCAACTCACGGATACCGGAGGAATACCTGATACGTCTCCAACGTATCTACAATTCTTGATTGTTCCATGTGTAAGGGCATTTTTATCCCTAAGTGTTTTTGGTGATTGATGGCAATGCATTTGTGGACTAATCGTGTGCATTGAGCATTTCAGATATCTCATGATTTAGGCACAAGACGATTCGTTGCCCCTCGGAGTCTAGTGAAGACGGAGTTTTCCCTACGTTTTTTTCGGTGGATTTGAGTCGTAGGAAAGCTGTACTATTAAGAGGGGGTCTGCGTTGGAAAGGTTTGGGTGGAATCATCACGTACACGTCTGTTCCTTTTGCACCCCCTTTCCTTTGCACCTTTGGAGCAACCACCATTTATCCGTGTCTCTGCAAAATGAAGGACTCCTAGTGTCTGTTGTGCTGCGGCATGCGGTAGTACTGCTCATGGGAGCAGTAGTACCACAGTGGCCCACGGTAGTACCGGCCAGGGTCACGATAGTACCGCAGGCCCTTGCGGTAGTACCGCTCCTCGGGCACGGTAGTACCGTGGCCTCTGGCCGGGCACAACAACACGAGCGGAAGTAGGGGCGAATGTAATTTTTTACATCCGCACCCTACGCGGTAGTACCGCTCCCCGTATGCGGTAGTACCGTGTTGGAGTTTTGCACAGATTGATACTTAGCGGAAGTAGCCACATATGTATTTTTATTTGTCTGTGCCTTCGCAGCCCAGACAAACCCTGCCTTGCAATAGTACCGCAAGGGGGAGCAGTAGTACCGCTCCGGCGGGTTTATCGCTCTTAGTACCGCAAGGGGGAGCAGTAGTACCGCTCCGGCGGTTCTACCGCTCTTTGCTTCAACGCATTAGGGCTGGTCTAACTCCTGCCGTGCATGCGGTAGTACCGCAGGCCCTTGCGGTAGTACCACATGTCTGGTGCGGTAGTACCGCACGTCGCGGGCTGAGTAAGTGGATAACGGTTGGATTTGTCCTATCACTATAAAAGGGGAGTCTTCTTCTCCGAGTTGACTACCTCTTCCATCCCTAAGCTCCATTGTTGCTCTAAGCTCCATTTTCGCCCGATCTCTCTCCCTAACCAATCAAACTTGTTGATTTTCTAGGGATTGGTTGAGAAGGCCCCGATCTATACTTCCACCAAGAGAAATTTGATTCCCCCCACTAATCCGTTGCGGATCTTGTAACTCTTGGGTGTTTGAGCACCCTAGACGGTTGAGGTCATCGCGGAGCCATATTCCATTGTGGTGAAGCTTCGTGGTGTCGTTGGGAGCCTCCAATTAAGTTGTGGAGATTGCCCCAACCTTGTTTGTAAAGGTTTAGTCGCCGCCTCCAAGGGCACCAATAGTGGAATCATGACATCTCGCATTGTGTGAGGGCATGAGGAGAATACGGTGGCCCTAGTGGCTTCTTGGGGAGCATTGTGCATCCACACCGCTCCAACGGAGACATACTTCCCCTCAAAGGGAAGGAACTTCGGTAACACATCCTCGTCTTCACCGGATCCTCTCTTGGTTATTTCGTACCTTTACTTGTGCAAGCTTATATTGTGTTGCATCCTTTCCTTGCTTGTTGTTGTTGCATCATATAGGTTGCTCACCTAGTTGCATATCCAGACAACCTACTTTGATGCAAAGTTTAAATCGGTAAAGAAAAGCTAAAAATTGTTAGTTGCCTATTCACCCCCCTCTAGTCAACTATATCGATCCTTTCAATTGGTACCAGAGCCTCGTCTCTTTATTAAGGACTTTGTCGTCCGAAGAGTATGGTTGACACCATAGACGGTGAGGAGGCGCACCCCGGTGTGATTCCGTCCTCGTCTATGGCTGATGGGGGAACCTCGATCTCACGTGAGGAGTTCAAGGTGGCCTTGGACACATTGAAAACCTCCATGATGGTCGAGGTCAAAGGCATGCTCAAGAACTTTCTTGATGGTCTTAAATTGTCCACCGCACCGTTGAAAGTGGTCGATCCCACTAACAAGGTGATGGATGCTAACTCCGACAAGGGGGAAGCTCCTAGTGATAAAGTTCCTTTGTCTAGTGGTAAAAGTGGAAACGACATCTTTGCCCATGTTGAACCTCCTCTTACTTATGGAGGACCGGTTCCCTCCACTCATTTAAATCACATGGGTTCCCCTCCTAAGATTATGAAAAATGAGGATTTTGACTCTTGGGTCTATCGCTTTAAACGTCATTTAAATCATGTCAATACTAATCTTTGGAGAATCATTGAGCAAGGTTTCTATCCGCATGACCCAAGCAACTTCACCCCTAGAGAAGCCGCAGATCATCAATTCAACGAGAATGCTCTCTTCATCATCCAAGATGCGATTCCATCCAAAGATATTGCACATCTCCGACCTTTCACCATGGCCAAGGAAGCATGGCACGATGTTGTTTCCCTTTACAAGGGAAGCACAAGCATTCAACGCTCCAACTATGAAGTGGTGCAAGATGAAG